GGCTCTGGAGCAAGTGCAGCAGTTACCTAAATAAGTATATACTAATATATACAATCAATTTGCCATTGGGGCTCGCGGGGGCGCAGCGATAAAGAAATTTCTTTTCTGGCTAATTTTTTGTTACATTTTGTCGTGCTTATTCTTCTTGTTCTTCATCTTTTTGTTTGTTTGTTTCTGGTTTTTGTTGACATTTCTTGAGAGTTTTCACCCGCTTTGGCGACCTGCTGCTTCCACTCGCTCTGGGCTTTTATGTCATTGCGTTCGTTGATAAAAAGGAATGCAAAAAAGAAAAGGAAAAGAATTGGAAAAGGGAACACTGGAAAATTGTTTCTGTTGGGCTGCTTGTTGTTGTTATTATTGTTATTGTTATTTTACTGTTGTCTTTTGCACGTCCAACCGCTCGACACGTGTCCACGTGGCCCGTGCGCGTATCGAAAAGGCGCAAGGAAAGTGGACAACAAAAAAAATGAAGAGAAAGGAAAACTTTTCCCATTCGCTTTCGGGCCTTTCACCAAAATCATTTGATTCCCAAGTTTATTTTCCAGTTGCCTTTCACTGACTTTTTCCCACAACTTTCGACCGAACTTAGACCAAATATCTGGCGCAATGTTTTGCATTTAAATATTTTCCTTTTTTTTTTTAATCTTTTTTTTTTGGCAATTTCAATAGCATTAGCACTCGGTTAACTTGCAACGCTGCTTCAATTCTGTTTGCTCAACAGTTAGCATTTTACTTGATAATTTTCCACGTGGCAATGCTCGTGCTGAAAACGTTTCGTGTTTATCAATTTCCCCAACAGCTATTAGCTGCAACAAACCACTTTTGGCACTGACAAATAGCGGCAAATTATGAAGTTCCAGTGCCACCCACACCAGCCCCAGCAGTCCGACCCGTGCCCGGAAATGACCCAGTGCCAAAACAGTTCAGTAACTGCGGCCCGCCGCTCCGCCAAAAAGGAAAACTTTTTGGGCAATTTCTTTTTTTAGCCGCGCGCCAACAATTAATTGAAATTAACATATTTTGCTTTTATTTAAGGCAACTTATCAGGCGAACCGCCGCCCGCATGAGCGACCAAACCGTTTCACCATTTCAAACCCGCCTTTTATCCCCCCACGCCCCACTCTACATTAATCTCCTACTCCTGCTCGCGCACCCTGTCGCGCTCATATTTCAGCTGTCATGTCGATTTCCATGGCTGAATTTCTCTGCTGCGCAAAAGTTTTAATTTTTTGAAGTTCTGGGCATACTTTTCACATAGGCGTCAACTTTGCAGCCATAGCGGGCAGCTCATCTCCCCCTCACCCTTGTCCCAGGGCTGGCCTAACCCGTCTATGCTGTGCGGCTCTGGCAGCTGTTACGCATTTCAATCAGCATTAGGTTGCTCGAAACACTTGGCTATGGGCACTGACTTTAAGGCTGGCTGCTCATATCTTGAGAGACTGTATATCGAGACAGCTAGGCGATAAATCTGTATATCGATAAATAAGCGAGTGTTAGATGAGGTGGTCAGTAGTCGACCTAGGACCCATTGGTTTCAGAGATATTCGAAAATATGGCAATTGGAATAGGGAAATATATTACTCTATATATTCTATCTCTCAGTTTGCAAGGCAAACTTCTTATCTGGAAGACTCCTGCCTGTAGACCGCAACAGCTCAGGCTCAACTTCTTGGCCAACTTATTTGAGGCTTAAGTGATGCTAAGCTAACTTTTTAAGATCGTCAAAGTTGATTGAATCAAAATTACAGTTTTAATGTGCTGGCACAGCAATAAAAGCGCTTAACGAGTGTTGACAAGTTTGTCTACTTAAGAAGCTTAATTTGGCAAGCATTTAATGAGCTCTTTGTTTTCATTTACCAGAGCATTCATATCGTCAGCATTTCAGCCTATCATTGCATATAAATCATAGCGAATTTGAGGAACTGATTGTAGCTACGAAATCCAGGAGCAAATTGATTGAGCTTTCCCCAGCTGTTTCAGCAAACAGTTAACGCTTCAGCTGGGCCACAGATTCAGCCCGCTCAAATCACAATTCCCGGCGAACACGCCTATGGGGGCTGGCTGACTGGTTGGTTGGTTGGTTGGTTCAGTTGCCATTTCCCAGGTACCACAACTCCCATATCGTGCATGATGTGGACATTGCTCATACGGCAGCGAGTCCCCAGTTGCCCTATTTGCTTGGGCTTGGGCTTGTTCCCGCTCTTGTGTTGGCTTTCTAGTTGGTATTTAGTTTGTGTTATTGTTTGCCCAGCTCTTGTTGTGCCTTCTGCCCTTTATGAAAAATTATACGAAACTTTTAACTTAGTGCGCGCACAGCTTAACAGTTACGGGGCCGGGTCGTGGGTTCATAGGTGGAGTAATGCTGGCTCAAATCCCAATGCTTCGGCTGGTTAATGTTCAAGTCGGCCGCGAGGGCCGTACGGTGTGGCACAGTGCGTGGGTTCACGGCAAATAAATTACGTGCTTATACTAAGTGCGCGCTCTGCACGCTGAGCATTTGATTTGCCTTTTTAACGGGGCCGCGCAGAGCCGCGAGCCGCAGGCAAAGCAGGTCAAGCTGTGTGGCCCACTGATTGCACTAGAGCAAAGCTGAAAGCTGCAATTCGCTGGAAACTCAACTGAGGCTTCCTGGAAACAGAAACAACAGAGCAAAAAGTTCAATTGAATATATTTCAATGTGATTTTCAACCCGAGCAGCGCCTGCATAGCTGAGTGTAATGCAATATGATGTTTCCAGGCGAGCCTCAACGTCAACGTCAGCGTCTGCGATGTGCTGACATATGCGCATCAATATGCACTGCCCACATACGCAGCGGTTGGACAATCCATTACTGATACTCGACTCTGCAACGACCGCCTAAAAGTAGGCAATGGCTTCTTGTTTTGCTGTATGGCATTCATGCTTATGGAGGTGAAACCAATCTGTGCTTTGTGCTCGCCTGCGTCTCGCCAAGTATTTTAGCGCGATAATTACGCGCTGCTCAAGTTCCGGACTGCTACCTATAACGAGCAGCAGTGTGGGCGTGGCGGAGCTAGCCATGAGTACAGCGCGTTGGTTGAACTTTCGGCATTTCTGTGGAATTCAATTTCAAAGCTATATCATTTTCATTTAATTTCACGCTTTCAATTTGCCAACCGAGCGACGACAACACACACACACACACAACTAGTGGAGGGTCTTGTGGGCTATCCTTTTTGACTGCCTCTCCACCTAGTCGCCCTGTGCCGCAATTCCTTTCACAGTTCTTTGTGTACAGCTCTCTCTGTCTCTCACTCTTTTTCTCTCTCTGTGTGTGTGTGCGTTTAGATGACCTCGTCCGTGCCTCGCCGTCGGCGTGCCATAATAGATTTTTGCACCTATTGTCTGTAAAATGAAACCGTAACGAGCTACTAAAATCGCTGATACCCTTAATATGCATGTGGAAGCACATGTATTTCTCTTTACCTCTTGCCACCCATCGATGTGATTGACGGGCAACATTTGTGGATTTTTCTCATCTCACGTTTACTCTTTTTCTCTCTCGAACTGATTGCAGATATTATGTTCGCATTCGATATGCCCTGCGCACGGTTTGGTGCGTGGTATTGCAAGTGCATTGAGGGCTGTGCACTGCTTGATTGGATGCGCTTTTGATTCAGTCTCTATTTTTGGCTGTTCACGTCGATCTCGCCTAGATGGCTGCGATGAAAACGTTTTCCATTCACATGAGTTTCCAGCCTTGGTTTGTCAGCTGGCCAGCTCAGTTTAACGGCAGGTTTAGCAAAAGAAAAACACGAGCTCGTCTCATATTCACGAATTGTTTTCCGAGTTGTTGCTTAAATTTTTATTTATTTTCGTCTTTTCATTTTGCTGGGGAAGCGGCATAAAGTTAGGCCAAGTAAATTCAATTTTAAAGTTATCTATTTGCGAACCCTAATCAAGGCAGCAGCTGTGCGTGTGTGTATGTGTATGTATGTGTGTGGGTGTTTGCAAATTTAGTTATTATTGAGAGGGTTGAGGGAGGGCGGATGATTGGCTAAATGCTAATGAAAACTTAACAACTTTATATTATGAAAAACTAACGTAATCAATTCTTGCTTTCTCTCTCTCTCCTCTCTCTCTCTCTTTCTCTCTTCCACACACTTGTCACCTCTTCTTGCGTCTTTAATTACAATATATAGCGAAAACTTTGATTAATTAAAAGTAAAGAAAAGCACAGCAGCAGCTCGATGCCGAGGAGCGACAAGCGACTCTTCGTGGACTTTTTGTGCGTTAGCCTTGTTCGCCCGCTTGCCAAGGACACCATTCAATAAACAACAAAGCGAACAAAGAGCAAACACAAATACAAAAGAGAGAGAGAGAGAGAAATAAAAAACAGAAAACAAAAAACTTAAACAAATATCCAGCAAATCATCGAAATGGAATTGAGCATCGGAATTGCCAAGCATTTAGCGAGCTATAACAACAGCAGCAGCAACATCAACAGCGGCAGCAGCAACAGCAACAGCAACGGCAACGGCAACTGCAACGGCAACAGCAATAGCAACCAGATCACCATTCGAAGTTGTTCGAAAACCGTGTCGAGCCATCGCTGCAACAGAAACAACGAGAAACATCAACTGAATACCAAAAGCGACAACAGCAGCAGCAACAACAACAATAGTAACAATAGCAATAGCACAACGATTCCGATATCAAAAATAGCAACAAGAGCAACAGCAACAACTTCAAACACTATTAACCAGCTAGATCGAACAGCCGATACGGCAGCAACAGCAACAGCAACGACTGAAGCTGAAACAGCAACAGCCGCAACAACAACAGCAACAACAGCAACAGCAACAACAATATTAAAAGCTGCAGCAACCGTCCATCAAGCAGCTGTCAGCCTCAGCAACACGTACAACAACAACAGCTACAACTAGGCCGGCAATAGTAACAGCAACTGCCAGCAAATCGGCAAGAACAACAAGAACACCCGGCGACAACAACAACTAACAAACAACAAACAACCGAGAGTCGAGCAGTGGCCAAGATGCAACGTCTACGTACAACATTCACGCGCTCGCGCACGCCGACGGGCGCCGAGATGAAGATGCAGAATAGCCTCGAGGTGCCCAAGCAGGTACAATGTCCAGAGCAGACTAATATATCGATGAATTATCTTAATTTGCTTAAAGCAGAATTATCGATGAGTTATCGTAATCGATAACGGTCGATAAATGCGAATATGTGATCGATGGTTATTGTGTTGTGTTATCGTTATTTTCTGTGCATGTTCCTGTTATCGATTTTGTTTAAATTACAAATTTTTATCGTTTATCGTGTCCTTTTTTTTGCAACTTGTGCCAAGCTTTTCGTTTTCTTATCGATAACCTGCAGCATACTAATTCCAGCTGTTGGCAGTGCTGCATGTTCGATAACTTATGGCTTTTGTTCTTGTTTCTGTGATTTTGTGTTGAGCCCGCATGAACGGCAGCCCCTCCCTCCTCTCTCCACTTCTCGGTGTCTTTTGTCTCTGAGTAATGAGCAGCTATGTTTTACTCTCTCTTTCTCTCTCTCTTACTTTCTCCCTCTCTCTTTGTCGCGTGCTCGTGCTGTTCATTCGTAGGTGCGCTCCGCCTCCTTTGACGAGATGCAGCTGGAGGCGCAGCGCATGTCGGCGCATCTGCTGAAGCAGCAGTCGTCCTCGTCGGCGGACGAGAGATCATCGGAGGGCGGATATCTGCAGGTGCCGCAGGCGGCGCATGCGCAACGCTCGCACAGCTTCGACTCGGCGGCTGCCTCGGTGGGCAGCGACGATTCGGGCGCCTTCTTGGAGGTGCCGCGCCGGCTGAAGGCGCGACGCAGCTCGTCGACCAAAACACCGCCGCCCTGCATCCATTGCTACTACTTGGAGCAGTACGAGAAGCAGATGAGCGCCGAGCAGCGCTACTTCATTGACCATCGCGAGCTGTCGACGCTCAGCTACAGCAACACCAGCTCCGAGGCGAGCGAGGATGAGGACATTACCGAAGCGCTCGAGGATGACGAAGAAGACGATGCGGCGGAGGGGCCAGCAGATGCCGATGCAGAGCCCGATGCGGAAAGGCACAGGGAAGGGGATAGAGAGGCGGATGCGGATGCGGATGCAGATGCCTGCGCTGAGGCGGATGCCAGCGGAGGCACAGAGCTCGACGACGACGCGGCCGCCGAGATGGACATACGCATGTCCAACCTGAGCATGGGCAGCAGCATTGAGGAGTCGAGGGCGCGTCTGCCGCGGCAAATGCGTCGCCACACGATCGGCAGCTCGGTGACCACCTCCGAGGATGAGGGCCTCGAGGGCTCCGACCATGGCTCGCCGCACTTCGGCAACACGCTGCTGCCGCCGCAGCCGACCACGCCCTGCGGCATCACCTTCACGCTGTCGCCCACCAATGGCGACTATCCGCCATTTCCGACCTATGCGTTTCCCATTGACCCCAGCTCGCCGCCCATCACGCCCATTACGCCCACGCCGGCCGTGGTGCGCTCCAGCCCGCTGCTGGAGCTGCCGCCCTCGGCTGCCAGTCATCTGCAGCTGAGTGCGACCGCCGCCGCCGCAGCTGCGGCGCTGTCCCTGCCCGCGGCAGGGAGTAGCGGCGGCACCACCACCATCAACGCCAGCCCCATTTGCATCAGCGCCGATGTGGATGAAACGGGCGTGGCGATGGGCGTGCCGCCGGGCCGAGCGCGGCGTCGCTCCATATCGCGACAGGAGGCCATATTTGTGGAGCCCACCGGCAACTCGCTGGAGAATGTGTCGCACGAGGAGGTGGACAACACCAAGTCGTCGGTGGACACGGCCGACTCGCTGGACGAAGCCTCCACGATGGCCACCTGCGGCTCCCCAACGGCCGCCAATGCGGCAGCAGCGGCAAACGCTGCCACGGCTGGTCATCACGCCGGCTTCGTGGTGCGGGACATTTATCTAACTGTGCCGGATCTGAAGCGAGATCGTGCCGCCTCGGTGGACTCGTGCTTCACGAAGCTGTCGTCGGGCGGCAAGACCGAGGAGCTGCAGCCGACCGGCGACGGCTGCTTCCTGACCGTGCCCAACATCAATGCAACCCGCTCCCGCTCCGTGGACATTGTCCTGCCCACCGACGAGCAGGCGCGCTACAAGGCGCTCGCCATGACGGGCAGTGGCGGTGGCGCCAGTGGAGCAGCCGCTGGCCTCTATGCGGATGGGTAAGGCGCTCTCTCTTAACCTACATCAATTGTTTGTTTGTTTGTTTGTCTTTTTTTGATTGTTTTTGTTTCGTGTTGTCTTTTGTTTAATTCCGTTTGCTTCAGTTTGGGCGATTTTCTATATATTTAACCAATGAAATAAACATTAATTTAACTATCGATATATCGATAAATGCATAACAAAGTGCTTGCGCGAGTGCTTGAGTTAAGGCAAAGCGGTTTATGTTCTTTCTTCTATCGCAGCACTGGGAAATGAGCTGAGGAACTAACGATGGGCGTTGGATTATCATTCGATTAAATTGGGTTTACTTATCGATAAGTATTGATATTTGTGGCTTACAGTCGTTGGCCACTTAATTGACTTTGAAGTCGATAAATTCGTTGAGCTTTGCCTAGCCCTATTAGCATTATCATCCGAGCTCGACACGTGTTTGCCCCTGTGATGTGGGCGGGGTCTTGCGGCTTTAAGCCTAATTAGAAAAGAGGTTCGGTTAACTGTGGGTAGCACAAAGTTAGAGCCGCATTTCATAATTCACAGGCGGTGCGCGGTCATTGACTGGACGGCCGGCTGTGCTGTGCAGTGCTGTGCTGTGCCGTGACAGTGGTGAGAGCCGGGGGCGCACAGGGTGTTTCGGCTGACGCATGTATAAATTATGGCGGCTGTTGTTGAAAAAGCGAGTCAGCCAAGCGATTTCCTTGAATTACAACAAAAGTAGCCCATAAATAACATTTAAACAAAGTGTCCTGTTGCCCAAACTGACAGCTAAGCGAACAGGACGAACGGATGGCGACTCCTGTATACGAATGTTGGCGGATACCCGTATATACGTACCCAGATAGCCAGCCGGACAGCCACCGAGGACAGACAGCAACCGCTTCACGCTGAGTGTCGCCCGAGTGTGGCCAATTGTGGGCAATTTGTAAGCGGGCGAAATGCTAAGCTTGGGGGTGTGGCAGCCGCTGTTGCCAAATATGGTTAAGCCGTTGTACAAACTTGTTTAGATAGATTGATGATTATGAGTCTTGCGACAGGCATGCAAGTTAATCAGCCTGAAAAAGACACAACTTTCTGATGGATAGCCAAGTTAAGCGGCTAGTTATTTGTTCTCCTTTTTTTTCTTCGCTTGCCTCTTGCCTATGTCTCTTTTTGGGACATATCTGGAAAAGTTGGCCGGCACATAGATTTTATACTTTTGACGGAATCGTTGCTGTCGTATCAAATCACAGCTGCGCAAGCGAGGACAAAGAGCTTGCAGCTTTAAGTGAGATTTATTGTATGTCGAGCTGCAAATTAAAAAGCCATTTTGAGTGTTAGTTTTAAGGCCAAATCGCTTTGGATATAGACTAAGGGACTTTAGAGTTTTTGTAATTAAAATGTGCATAGGGTAAAGGTAGATTCAACCGCTGTAATGCTAGCAAATCTAAAGCCAATTGAAAGCTCTTTTGTGAGCTGCCTTAAAGCTAGCTACTATAGATTATATTAAAGCTCATGTGTGAGTTAAGAGACAGCTAACTAGGGTCTAATCTAAGGTCTAATCTAATCTCTAGGGTCTAATCTAAGCTGACTACAAAAACTGAAATATTTACACAATTATTTTAAAGCTCATGAGTTAAGAGACTAACTACTCTCTGGTCATACCCTAAGTCTCATGTGCCAGAGCTAGCTACTCTAGGGTCTAAGCTCTACGAGCACAAGGCTCTCCGAAATATTTACACAATTATATTAAAGCTCATGAGTGAGTTAAGAGACCGCTAACTACGCTCTGGCCAAACGCTAAAGCTCATGTGTGAGCTGTCTTAAAGCTCTCTACACAGGAGTCTAATATAAGCCCCACTTATAACTGACTAATCTTTAATATTTACTGATTTTTGCGTGCTTTTATTTACATATTTGAGATTTATGTTAAGTTCTTGACTTTGCCCACATTCAGCATAATTTTGTCTAATACTCACACGCACACACACACACACACACCCTAATGCCTGTTCAAGTTTACTAAGATTTCTCTTTCATCTCCATTGCAGGTACGTATATATGTATATATACATCATGGTCAACTGAATTTGCACTGCCTATAGGGCGGCAGAAAATGAAACCACAGTCAATTTGCACAGATAAGTATTGAAAGCTGTTAGCCTTAAGCGAGGCCGAAGACAAGCAGAAGAGGAAGAAGAAGAAGAAGAGGAAGATGCCACTCCGTATTGTATTTACACACGAGAGATTTCCTTTTTAATTTCCGATTCATGTGGCTACGTGGTGCAGGCATAGAACGGGCGAGTGGTTGTGGGTGTGGGTGGTTGGGATGTTCATTTATGAGCGGATTTCTATATAAATATTTTCTCATGTTTATATTTTTGTAATCTTGATTTGTTGTTGTTGTTGTTGTTGCTGTTGTTGCTGTTGTTGTTGTTGGGGGTATATTAGCAGGCAAGTGGCTTGCGCCCCGAGCGGATGCCAATGGCCATCATAAAGTTGATTTTTGATTTACGATGCTCAAGCGTGACATGTTATTGTCTATCTGCCGCAGCCGTCGCACCACACAGTTCGTTCAGGGGGTGGAGTGGCTGGCCACCGCCAGCTATTAACTGGCCAATGATATGTTTAATTTTTTGACCTTTTGCTCAATAAAATGGAAAATATTATAAAATCATTCAATCATGCGGCGCATGTCGACATTGCAGCCAGCCATTCCATCCAGCCATTCATCCACTCTGTTTAGTTTAGTTTTTTTTGTGCTCTTTGCTTGTTGCTTTCTGCTTCGCTTCCCCTTTTTCGGTGGCTATATGCGGCTCATTCATGCGAATTCGACGGCCATCATTGTGGCTGTGTTTTTTTTTGTACGCTCCCTTGGGCAGGCCAAGCAGCAACAGCGATAACAATAATAATAATAAAAAAAAAAAAAAAAACAGCAACAACAACAGCAAACAGTGAACTTCATTTTTATGACAATGGCGAAAATAATTTTATGAAAATTCTCCCCAGAGGCGCAGAGAATTGCAGGCATCTAAATTACCATAAATACCAGAGGCGTTGTGGGAGCATTTGAAAAGTGGAGAAAGTGCGAGAGTGTGGGGCCAGCGTGGCGTGAGCGGGTTCATTATAGCCACTGACCCGGCCATTAAGGGGCCACTTATGGCCCAGAGGCTGGCACACGCCTCAATGATGCTAATCATTGCAGCACTTGTAAATAGCCGAAATGTAATAGATTAGCAGTGTGAGATCAGCTACTCGAGTTGACTAACAGTTAATTGTCAACTCTTCCAAGCAATGCAACAGCTATTCACAAGGGGAGGCAAGACTTGGGATATCTTTAATCAGACTAATTGTTGAGTGAGCTCAATCGGCGATCAATGCGGCACTGAGGGAGCTACTACGCTCAAGTCTAAACTCTTTATAATACTAAGAGGGACGCCTTAGCCACGGCGTAGTTTTAGTAAAGTCAGACGGGTTTTTCTTATATCGCTATAGTCAAAATGCTTCCACGTCAGGGCTAATTCATGCTTGAATACTAACAGAAGTGTATGAAATACGGTAAGACCTAAAAGACCTATGCTTCCTAAGACTTGAACTCCGATATTTCAAACATAAATTGTTAATAAGACAATAGTTATATAATATTATTATTATTATTTATTTATTAGATAATATAAAAAATATAAATCTAAAAATTATTAAACTTGCTAGCTACGAGGGCCATCGCCATCGCCATTAACTAAAATTAAAGCAATTTTTATAGCAAATTGTATGACTATCAAATGTATAATGGTATTATAAAAAACCCTCTGCTGATACAAGACCTCATAGACATCTAAAAAAAGTTTCTGTGCACTTGTCACATAGAATATCTCAAAAACCCAATGTAATTGAAATTAACTGGTTCTATAATTGATATGAATGCCTTAAAAATATCCTTGCCAAAGTCCAAAAATCGAACGTTAGTAAAGCTATATATAAATCGAAATTGATAAATTATAGATGATATACAATACGCACAACATTGACTTAAATATTTATATATATATATGTACATACATATATTGAGTATTTATAGAATTCTATAATTACGGATTCGTTTCAGTTGAGCGATCTGTGAAATATTTTTGCATTTGATCTAATATTTAATAATAAGTGCACAAATGGTTTCGCTTAACTGTGAGAGATCATGTGATTCGAGTATGAATTATATGCCCATAATATTCGCATTTAAATCAAATTTTCGGTGTATTTCACCCGAGTGAGTAACGATCCATAATTTTGATGGGATGGCTTCGATACGTTTGATCCATCATCAGATTTATGGAATCAATGAGTGGCATATATGTATAATTGAAAATCCCTAATGTGGAACTGACGTCATCTCGTATTAAATATAACACCCAAGATGATATACGTACATATATAAATTAGTTCTATTTCATTGAATTACATTCCATATACATATATACATATATATTGTGTGAGGCGTTAATCTAGATCGTGTGCGCGTCCGGTGGGATGCTGCATATCGCTGCACTCTAATTGACTTCTGATGGCCACTCAATTTTTCGGCTAGACCATAAAAATGTCTATCGTAATGCTGTCGATGCTATTGTCCATGTCGATGTCCAGGGCCGGGCGGGGCTGGGGACGTGCTCTGCTCAGAGTTCCAGTTCCGGATTGCTGACGCACACCGCAAACAGCCAGCGCAACAAGAGGCAGCTAAAACAACAAGCAGATTTCTGTTTTTTGCTAGCCCATACCCTGGACTCAGTACAAGTGTGGCGGGGAGTATTGCGTCGAGTCGGCTTAGAGGAAAATGTTGATTAGAAATATTTGAGATGCAATGGAGATTCATGTTGATTCATGTTGACTTAGAGTTTTCCAGGCGGGGCAAACAGATTGAGCATTATTATCGAATATTGACATCAAATGCTCATTGGCTATAAGTGCGGCAGGTGCTTGTGGCAGGGCATCTGTTAGTCGGTCAGTTGGATGGCTGTGCCTGCCTTCACTTGTCTGG